GTGTCACGGTGTCACCGTGTCACGGTGTCCCCCGCGGCGCGCGCAGGTGGCGGGTGAAGCGGCAGCGCGTGGACCTGCGGGCGCAGGGGCTGGACGCGGCGCTGCTGGACACCCAACAGCCCCCCATCGTCGTCATGGACTGGTAGGGTGACGCCGGGTGACACCGGGTGACGCCGGGTGACGTGGGACTGCGTGGGTGGTTCAGGGCTGGCTGGGGGCTCTCAGGGGCTGGCAGATACAGGGTGACACAGGCTGACATGGGGTGTCACAGGGTGATTCGGGGCGACACGGGGTGTTGGGGGGTGGCACAAGGTGGTACAGGGTGACACGGAGCGTCACCGGATGTTTTGGGGTGACACAGGGCACTGCAGGGTGACACGAGCCACCGTCGTGGGACTGCGTGGGTGGTTCAGGGCTGGCTGGGGGCTCTCAGGGGCTGGCAGATACAGGGTGACACAGGCTGACATGGGGTGTCACAGGGTGATTCGGGGCGACACGGGGTGTTGGGGGGTGGCACAAGGTGGTACAGGGTGACACGGAGCGTCACCGGGTGTTTTGGGGTGACACAGGGCACTGCAGAGTGACACGAACCACCGTGGGGTGTTGAGGGTTGATGTGGGGTGACACAGGCTGATACAGGGTGACACGGGGTGTTGCAGGGTGACACGGGCTGGGTAGGGGTCACATGGGCGATTGTTGGGGGATACAGGGTGTGACGGGGTGACACAGGCCAACAGGGGGTGGTGACATGGGCTGTCACGGTGCTGACATGTCACGGGGTGACACAGGGACATGGGTGTGACACGAGGTGACATGGGGTGACACGGGCGGGGACAGGTACGAGGCCAGCGTTTTTTCACCACCTACCGACTCCGGCGCCGCCTGTTGGGGGCCGACGGTTGCCAAGTCCTGGCACGTTTCCAGCACGAGGGACCCCACGACGGCGCCGCCACCCGCGTGGGCGCCTGGTACCACGTAAGCGCGCGGGTGTGCGCACGCGTGTGCTTGTGTGTGCAACACACACATGTGTGCGCACCCCCCGTGCATGCGTATGCGTGTTTGTGCATGTGTGTGCATGCGTGTGCACGCTTGTGCATGCGTGTGCACGCTTGTGCATGCGTGTGCTTGTGCATGCATGTACTTGCGTGTGTGCTTGTGCATGCCTGTACTTGCATGTGCCAGCTTGTGCATGCGTGCATGTGCTTCTGCATGCATGTACTTGGGTGTGCACGCTTGTGCTTGCACGTACTTGTGTGCAATTGTGCACACATGTAGTTGCGTGTGCACGCTCATGCATGCATGTGCGTGCTTGTGCATGCATGTGCATGCTCATGCGTGCGCTTCTGCATGCATGTACTTGCCTGCGTGCGCTTCTGCATGCATGTAGTTGCATGTACATGCTTGTGCATGCCTGTGCGTGCTTGTGCATGCATGCACATGCTTGTGCATGCATG